GTCTTTTCCTCAAAAGATATCTGTGTGAATTGAGCATGGATTTTTTCCCATTCTTCCATAAGATTATCGAGCCATGCGGTACTCAAACCACTTTTTAGTATACCGCGACGTAATAACTCTTCACCGATTAGCCTCTCCCGATCTGTTAAAAATTTATGATATTTTCTAGGGTCTTCTTTTCTTTCTATTCCACCACGATAGAAACGTATATCTCTTTCCAAATCCCCACGAAAACATCCCGTGGTCCACCTATTTTTCTCAGCCCCTGTAATAATCGAAAATTCTTTGGGATTTATTCCATGTTCGATGGCATACTGATAAAGGTGATTTTTGTTTGGCGCCATTACCTGAGTTTCCAACGAGCTGTCTTGTATGATATGATTATCGGCATTTTCGCTTTGTAGGGGTTCCGGATTTTCAGACTTTATCCAAGGATCAAGCCCAGTTTTTTTCTTATATATTTTATATAACTTGGAACGAAGTTTATCAGATATAGTGGTTGGCAAATCAGTTAATTTGTAATACCAATCCAAATATTCGGGGGATAATATTTTATCAGACTTGGTCTGTATATCCATGTTGCTGTTTTATATGAATACAAAGCAATTTAAATTCTCGCATCGGGTATCCCAAGTATTTATTTGCTAGTATAATTATATATTATAAAAATTTACCGGAGACAGTCACATAGTGGCTATGCTTTGGAGTATCACCAAGTAAGGATAACAATTACGCCTTATCCTTGGGTAATATTTGAATATATCACTTACGTATTAGCGAAGTAGGCACAGCCAAAAAAATATTAATTTTGTATTATTGCATACTGATATGTTATAAAGTGCGGACAAATAAATTTTATTTATGCAGTTATTTGAATTTCGTGCTGTTCACATTTAATATAGTATGATGATGCAGAGCATCGAATCTCCGATCCCCCAGTTTCATATCTACCTTCTATGCCTTCCTCATCATCATGGTCTAACTTGCATAAAGGGCATGATGCCCCATCAGTAATTCCATAATAATCAATATTTTCATCATTAAATTCATAAAATATATCGGGATATTGCTCCAATGTTTTGTGGCGGAAATTAGCATGGGTGTGGACTGGATTATTTTGTTTTTCAGATAAGGTCTTCTTGGATTCCGGTAAATCCTCCTTGGGTTTAGAGATAGGTGGTACTTTCGAATCGGAAGAATTAGAGATTAGTGATTTAGTTAGATCACTTACCTTAATTTTCGGAGATATATGTTCTGATCGTGACAAATTTGTCACGGTTTTTAAGTTTACATGGTCTATAATATTTTGAATTTGCGCATTAGTTAATCCAGAAATAGTACTTGCACTATATGTAACCTGTTTAATTTTAGCTATACCTACTCCTTCTTCTCCAAACATTTTAAGAATTTTCCGAGCTCTCTGAGTTTTTTTACGTAAATTTGAATCTGTAACGCGAGGGAGAAAAGGTTTCATTTCCTTATATAATTTTGTTCTTGCAGTTTTATCCTTAATATTTTCATCGGTTATAAGGCTTTTAACTTTATTTTCAAACTCAAGGGAATAATAATACCAACATAAAATTTCTTCTTGACCCTTTATAACTGCTTTATTAAACAAATATGATAAACTTTGTGCCGAACCTGGGACCAAGTTATCGAATTTTTGAATATATGACTCATTAATTTCAACGCCAGGGGTATTCTGGGACAATTCTTGCATTAGACCTTGTTCTACGATTTGAATGGCATCAACCTCATCATTTTCATCATCTTGCTCTAATTCAGATACTTCAGAAGATACATTGTCTGATCGTGACAAATTTGTCACGGTTTTCGTGTCATATGATTTTGGTTTGGACCATTTTTCCAGATCACCACATGGTTCTTCCTCTGCCTCAGTATCCAAAATCTTATTGCAAGGAGAATCAGCTGGCACCGAAGAAGCATTGTGTGAAACTTGGGCTTGAATCTTCTTTTCCCGGTTCCTTTCTCTTATCATATTACTAATACTTTCCTTATTTTTCTCATATAAGAAATTGTTAAGTTCATTAGAATTATTAGAATTTGAAGCATCAGATGAAGTAGACGAAATCTCTTCCGTAGAAAGTGCATCCTGTATATTAGAAATGGTTTGATCTTTCTTTTTGATTTCCTCAATATCATGTCTTAATTTCGCTACTTCGGCTTCAAGCTCAGTGTTTTTGGTCTTGAGGTTAGTAGTATCTTCTTTAAGTTTTGTATGATCAGCTTCGCGTTTGCTGTTTTCTTCCATAATCCGTTTTAAAAGCTCGGTATTCTTAACCTCAAGTTCAGCCTTTTCAGCCTCAACCTTAGCATACTTCTTTCTAATTTCGGTAATCTCGACTGTAAGCTTGATATTTAATTCTCTTAACGAAGCAATTGTAGTTTGTGTATCCGCCATTGTTTTACATAAAATGCGGATATATTCAAAATAAAAATATATGTCCATTCCAATTTTAGTTCCGAAGGAACGCTCAAAGGGCAAAAATTCTCTCTCGATCATATGCGAGTTAATATACATCGATAACAATACAATAAAATAAATTCACGAAATATGCACACAAAAATAAACTGATTATGTATAGGAAATCGACTACAGAGGCCAACTTTATTGATATACAGTAGGGAACAGTGAAATATAGAATATTAATACAGGGTAATTATATATACAATTAATATTCTAGCGCAACAGAACTTCTCTTTAGTGATATAGCAGTTAACACTGTGGATCTTTCATTAACATGTATTTTCTCAGTCTCTTCTTTTTTTCTCTTAAATTTTTCTCAAATATTTTTAAATGTCTCGTCCATCGGTATTAAGAATTTTTTGCTAACATCGAGTTTATAGTTAATAAAAAATAACGTGGCTCGAACAATTTTCACAATCGAAGTTAACAAAATTCTCACGCATATATGCTCACATAAATCGGGAAGATTATACAAAACGAATTTTTTATAAGAAAATAATTCTTGAGCCTTTATGGGCTATCTTTATTAAGCTGATCATAATTATACAAGCATAACTTTATTTATAAATGTTAAAATACAGGGAAAAAATTTAACAGCAAAGTGTATAGTAGCATGTGTTGTAATAAATGTTCAAAATATTAATAATGCAAATATGTAGTGGTTGATAAAGTTCATCCTTCTAACCTTGATTCAGCCGATGAAATAATTTCCCAGTCATGTGTCGAAGGTTTACCTTTTTTCCCACCTTTTTTACATTGTAAACATTGAGCAGAGACAAAGGTACTTTTATTACAGAAGGCGATGACAACCTCAACTATCGTTTCGATATGACTTGCAGTATTTGACCGATAGTTCTTATCAATAATTTGTTTTAGCCCCTCCTTAGCGAGCTTTCTCATTCCTTCACGGTCTTTCGATTTAGCGAGCTTAAACTCAAAAATAATACAAGTATCAAATTTTGGGTTAATTGGGATGATGCGGACATCAGGACGACCTTTCCCAGTTTCACGATTGGAGACGACCTGGTAATCATCACCATGAAACATTGCAAGTGCTCCAAGGACAAATGTATGGTACCAACCCTCATATGATTTGGCTCTTTTAGAATCACCAATATCAAAACAGGAGATTATTTCCATATAAAGAGCAGGAAATTGTTCGCAAAACACCTTAATATTTTTCTTGAATAACAAGTTGAATATGTCATTCGCTTTTAGCCGATCTACGCCTACGAAATCGATAATCCACTGCTTCCATTGTTTAGCAACTTCTCTGTTTGGTATAGTAAGTTTGACTTCAGTAGACACATCAAGTTCATCGTAACTTATGGTCAAATAGCCACTATAACATAGTAATGTATAGATCGCGTTTATTTCTAGCTCATTCACGAGAACGTCGTATCGGAGATGTGGTATGAGTTCCACTTTAACATATCTATCGGCGTCTTGTAACGAATAAAATGAATAGTAAAGACTCTGGAGCTCTTCTTCAATATTTTGGCTACATTTTTTTAGACATTCCCTAACCGTGACTGTCGAACCACTATTTGTCCAGTAGTCCCCGATAATACCTTTTTGCAAAGAGGATATAATTGAGTGAGGGTTGTAGACACGCTCATTGGTACTAGTTCGATATCCGTTGTAATGAGTGCGCAAATTATCGAGTTCAAATTTCAGATCACTTTTACTTAGCAAGAACTCAACTTCTTTCTCCGTGAAACCAAACATGTCTGAGAAATGGGCACGCCCACGTATTCCAGGTAAGATATGCATTGGGTAATGCCCAACATTGTTAAGTCCAGAAAGGAAACTTGCTTGGCCTAGAGGAAGCAGTCCAACGAACAGGACCTTGCATACGTATTCATTATCCTGCACCGAAATTTATAGATTAGCCAACAACCCAAACAATATGTACTAAGTAACAATGAAGAACAGTTTACCTTCGCAACGCTAGAGTACATGGATTTAAAAAAAATATCAGCTTCGTTGTAAAAACTTCCTGCATGTTCCATCGGCCAGTCGTATTCATCAATGAGAATAATGGTTTGTTTACCAAAGTATTCGTGAAGATAGCGTGATAGACGGGAGATAGTGTTTATTAAATGTGACTCGTCAATTGTTTCGTCAATAATATTTTTAAATAAGAGTTCATCATCTATATGAAGCTTTTTGTTATCAATAATATAACGATGTTCTTTGTATAAATCTGATATTTTTTCCTTGATGGAATTTAGCATTGATTCCCAAGACTTATAATTAAGATCCTAGTAAAATAAGTTCGTTAGTCACCCACCCAGTAAAAGGAAGAGTTGCATCATTGTTTGCTTACCTTGAAACTAACGTAAATAACGGGCCAATTGCCGAAGTGCAGCTTCATAAACCAATCGAATTGTGCAACTTTGAGGTCTTTAAACAAAGCAAGCTTCTGTTCTTTTTCTTGTTCAGACACCGGTTTGAAAAAAGTATAAAGCATTGAAAGGTTTGTAGATTTGCCAAACCTACGGGGGCGAGTAATAAGTATAGCCCGCTCACTGTATATCATAAATTCTATGATGAAAAGCGATTTGTCCACAAAAACGCCTGATGTAACGAATTTAAAAAAATCAGATTCGCCCGGAGAATATCCGCCTTTTACAATTACGTTTGGGATATCTTTTACAACGAGAAAAACCAGTAATAATTAATCTTTTTGAATGTTTTATAAATTTGTCATCAAAATTTACTTACCTTGGTACAATGCCTTTCTGGTACCTTTGATTTATAAATAAAATAATATATTTTTTAATAAATAATAATGGATATTAAATAATTAGAATTTCAGGAAACCTCACTTTGTTCCTGGTCACCCCATGCTATAGACTTTGAATCATCAAAAACCTGTTCACCATCGAGAGCTAGAAAGTGAGACAATTGATTAGATGAATGTTATGATTTGGCATAGAATACAGATATTTCAAATTTAGTTCTGGATAAAAACAAAACTGATTATAGCATACCTTTGATTAACCTTGGGCGTTTTCTCGGCGGTCCATCGTCTATTATGGCACAAGTTAATAAACGAAATTAGGTTTGGAATATTCGAATGCAGTCGTGGTAAACAAGAACAGAGAAAACGGAATATCACGAATAATGGAAGGAAGAAATGGGGTTAAAAATGTGAAAAAAAGAATATGTTAGTAAAACATTAAATAGTATACCAAGCTTTCTAGTTGCAACGCGTTCTACGATGACAATAAGTTTATGAGACGCGGAGAAAGCAGTATAGGTTTGGAATATGAGTCAGAGACTCGACACTTTGTGTCTTCGAATGCAGTCGTGGTACTACTTACCCTGGTCCTCGCCCTTTATTTTTTTGACTAAATCCGAAATTGTTTTTGCTGGTCCGTACGCCAAATCGAACCTTCCATCCTTCTGAGTAAGCGTTTCTAATGTTAAGGAAAGGAAGTTTGGACCGGAGACTCCATTTTTTTTGATAATATCGATGTCGTCGTCGTAAAGGTCCAACTTGTCTTTATTATTTTGTAAAAAATTAATGATGTCAGGTCGTTTCCATTTCTGCTGAACTTCCTCGGCTGACGGAAGGGTAATATCTTCAGACATGATTATCGTTATTTATTTTTGAAAATTGGTACTACTTGTAAGTTGCGCAGGTTTAGAAACGAAAAAAAATTTTTTAGTAGGAACGAGTCGTACATTCTCCCTTTTATAGGTTATAGTCGTACAGTACAACAGATTAGGGATTGGAACCGCCTAAAATTTTTCTTAATCGTTTAATCGTTTAACCGTTTAACCGTTTAATTTGGCCTGCATTAAAATAATTCCGGCCCACGACCAACATAATTCTGCCCGGAACTATGGAGCAATTGTTAAACGGTTAAACGGTTCCAATCCCTACAACAGATCACGGATATAATGACAATACTGTATAATATATTTTAGTATTTTTTCCGTAGTTTAAGGGTAGGGTGTACGTAGATCATTTTTCATATGATCTGCATGGTATATTGAATTTTTACATAGTAAATAAAAAAATGCTTCTGATTAAACTTTTTAACATCTCAGTTAATTTGTATGAAATTTATATGATATGTAGTTTAAACTAGTTTGTTTATAATAGTGAAGTTGCGGAATATACATTGATTTAAAAAAAATGAACTTTATATATAATCAAAGTTGCCGGGGTCGCTATATGTTTTACCGGGGTTACACAAAAATTGCTAGTTCTGATTGGTCGAATCATATGATGTTTACATGTAAATCATATGATATCATATACACAAAGTTGATGTACAATCTATTTTATATGAAATTGGAAATTTGTACACCCTACCCTTAAAGAAATAAATTAAATCGAAATTTTAATAAATCACAAAATCGGGTTACAGTTCCTGCATGCAGAATTTTTATTCGAATTTTTTGATTGTTATTCAAGTGTATGAAAAAAAAAACTATTTATTCTTGAAGGGGTGTGATACGAATTATTCGAGGATATAATAGATGAATCAGGAACTTGAAACCGTTATGAAATTATGAAGTTTTCACTTCTCGCTTCTTTTCTTAGAAAATTTCACATTCACATCGCTTATATATTCCCTCTGCTACTTTTTTGCATGTCTTACAATATAGGTGTGAATGATGATCGTATTCGTCACAAACCTTACACCCGTGCTTCCACCCTCTAAAGATATGCCACTTTTCAAAGTGATTTTGTTTTTCTTTATATGCAGGTGTGTTATTCCGATTTTCCATCGTTATATATTACTGTATTAACAGAAAAAATAATAAATACGTGGCTAAATTTTTTATATACAAACCCGTAATAAGTGGTATTTATGTTTGTGACCCGTTTCCAAACAAACTATACAGTGATAAGCCTCATAACGATAAGGCCAAACCTCTATATATGACATTTCGAATTTATTGCCAATTTAATATATATCGATATTACAGAAAAACGTTAACTTTATTCTGGAGTAGCAAAGCCACGAATTACAATTTACATGAACTTGTGTGTGGGTAGGGCGTTTATAAACTGCAAGAAAATCTAAATTCATGAAAAAAATGTAATATAGACTGTGACCTCGAGGACACAGTATCACGTGACAATGGCGCAGTAATAACCGATCATTTTGATTTATTTATAATGCTAAGTATTACATGATTGATATTTTCCTTACTTAACTTAGAAATTGTTAACGCTGTAAAAGATCTAACTCGTACCATTTTATCCTCACCAATGGCATCAAAAAGTTTGTAAATTTTTCGTGCTCGTTCTGTTTTCTTTCTAAGTGCATCATCACTAACCTCTTTGGAAAT